CCGCAGGGGAGGCCTGACCGCCGCGTCGGGAGAGGAGCTGGCCTGGGAGCAGAGGGGAGGGAGCAGCAGCCTGGACATGCAGCAGCCGGAGGGGCGAGGAGGGAGCCCGGCCTTCCCGGAACCTTTCACCTGCCAGCCCAGAGGGAGAGGCGCGTTTTCACACCCGCCTGGCCGCCCTGGAAAAAACAAGCCAAGGACGATGGATGTCTGTCTGTCGTTTTCTAAAATCTTTGTGATCGTGGCTTTGCGTTTCCTGGTGTGTCTCACAGGGTTTGGTAGGAGGTGGGGGAGGGGAGACACGTACCTGTTTCTCAACTGCTTCGTGGATTGGAGAGAGAGAGAGAGAGAAAAAATAATTTAAGAAGAGAAACAGTGTGGGAGGGAGAATCACCTCTGACCACATCTTGGTTTGATTGTTTTCTTCCTGGGTAAGGAAGGGGTGTCTTCCCGCCACGTCCTGGCCCATGCCCCGTGACCTCCCACACAGAGCGTGTTAAAGTAGAGGAATTGGCACCAGGAAGAGGGAAGCCGAGAAAGGCCTTAGAGGAGCACTGAGAGCGGAGGGTCCAGGTGGGCCTTTTTCATGGTGCACCCGGCTCTGCCCTGGCCTCCCCCGGCATAGGGAACTGGCAACCTGCATCTCACTCCAGGGGCGCAGGTCACACTGCCTTTACAGTTGCCTTTCCTGGTGGGGAAAGGGGAGCTGGTATGGATGGAATGACAGGAATGAGTCCAAGTGGAACCCCCTGAGGATAGTGAGAAACCGCAAGGCCTGCCTGTGACGCCTGACACTCAGGTGCATGAGCCCTGGCTGGAGGTAACCTAGGACAAGCCCCTCCTGGTGTCAGTTTCTCATTGATTTCTTTGAACAGAATTGGCCAAAATTCAGACATCTGCTTTTAAGGGGAAGGCAATTTCCCAGTTAAACAAACAAACAAACAAACAAACAAAAAAATGGGTAGGGGTGGGGAACTATATAGCTAAGGGAAGAGGTGCAGAGGGAAAAGGACCCCAGAAACAGAAGGGTGAGGTGGTGGGTCCCCGAGGAGGATGGGGAGAAGGGGCAGGCCGGGAGCAGAGAAGGGAAGGATGAAAGGGGATGCAAGTCCCTGTCTCCCAAGTTTCTTTAAAATCTGTGTTTCTTCCTCTCCGTCTGTGACATTCCTGAAAGATTACCAGCCAGCAATAGCCCAGGGCTCCCCTCCAAAGAATTGTTTCAGATTGTAATTACCAGTTAGGCAATGTTTTTAAAGCTTTGTAATGAGAAACTGTGAAAAGAGCAAAGTGTTACATTGAGCTTGGGGTGGGAGATGGGAGACCTGGCAGTGAGGAAGGAGGCAGGGGGTGGAATTCATCTTCAGGAAGGAAGCAGGAGGGAGCACAGAGCAATTGGAATGCCCACTCCCAGATCGTCAAAAACATGAACTTCCCCCCAGCCTGCACCAATATTATTTTCAAACATCGCCCATAAGTAGGCCCTTTGAAAAGTTTGCTTCCTCCTCGTCTTTGACCATGAAATGGTTTAAACAAGGGAACTTACACCAATCATGACAAACGTTTTTTTTTTCCAAAGTGGTTTTACTCTCTCTGGATCTAAACCTGTTGCTTGTTTGGTTCAGAGAACTACATGTCAAAGAAAGGGTGAGAATGATAGTAAATGCTAATATAAAATGCTGAGAGGAAAAAAAAAGAGTTGGCCAGGAGAAATAATTTAAAATGCACATTTGCTTTGGATGCACTGTTGTTCTGTTAAAGACTGTATATATTTGTTTATTTAAGGTGACTGGAAATGCAAAGAGGAAATGGACAGCATGCAATTCATCTTAATGTACAAAACGTTATATGCACTCAAATGTTATAATTTCTAATATTTTTAAAGTTTATATTCGAGTTGTACAAAGTTAAACATTAATCAGATATTTCATTCTTTCTTAATGTTATCATTTTCTTAAATATTATTACAAAAATTTTTAAGTCTGTCTAATGGAGAGTTTTTTTTTTAACTGTCTACCTCACTATAATACAAGTATTTACAACACTAAATTTACCGGAGGTCAATTTAATATTCAAAACATTTTTTACAGTATACTTTTCCTGGGTGATACTCAAATCTAATACTGTATTATTAAACTCATTTTCCCCCTTAAAAACTCAGCCTGGTTTATATGAATCTACTTAGAAAAATTACTTTGTCAAGGAATAGTTGTCAGTGGTATTTTGTTCCAGTATGAGACTGAATGTCTGAAAAGACACTGGTTACTTTAAAAGCCATAATTTAGGGAATGACACTTTTGCTTCATAACTCTTCCATAACTCTCTTTTCATGAAATTTTCATTCACCAAATCCCTCTCAGCTATTAGAACAGTGTTTATAGGCCTTTGCCCCATTTCAGCATCTCAAGAGCCCACATAGGAATTAGATTATTTCTTGGTTTCTTTAATGTTGAAAAAAGAAAGCTGTAAATTACCTAGGCCAACCAAGATGTCGGTAATTACTATTTACACTTATGGCCCATTGGAAGCAGAAGATATGAAATGTTTTTCTTTTTGTTCACTTGCTGTAAATCAGGGAACCCATGTACAAGTGTAAGTCCAAGTGCTTACCACATGATGGAAATACTATTGCCCATGCATTATCTCATTTAAACCCTCCAGAAACCCAATGAGGTAGGCGTTATGATAATTCCCGCTTTACAGATGAGGAAATAGGTGCAGGCTTTAATTAACCGGCCATGGTCATCCAGCCAGGAAGTAGTAGCTAAGATTTAAACCTAGTTCTTTCACACCCTAGAGCCCAAGGAGTTAACCTCTAAATAATTGTGCCCACAGATGATCTGTCTGCTCTGTAATTGATCCCTAAATGTCAGTGTGAGAAATTTGCAATAAGCCACGATGACAGGGCAGCCAGCTGGTGGAGGAGAAGCTGCCACAGTGGCCTCCAGCATGGTCTGTGGTTTTGGAATATATGAGTTGTGGCCGCTGGGATAGTTGGGTATGGATTGCAAAACTCAGTGAGTTCTTAGCTTCAGGCTTGCCTTGAGAAACCTATAGTTTAGGTCATTGATGAGTTTCTGTGGATTCTCTAGAGCAGTGGTTCTCAACCTTCAGGCCCTTTAAATACAGTTACTCTTGTTGTGACCCAACCATAAAATTATTTTCATTGCTACTTCATAATTGTAATGTTGCTACTGTTATGAATCGTAATGTAAATATCTGATATGCAGGATGGTCTTAGGCGACCCCTGTGAAAGGGTCGTTCGACCGCCAAAGGGGTCGCGACTCACAGGTTGAGAACCGCTGCTTTAGAGGTTTCTGAAACTGCCTTGGGTGTGGGTTTTGTGTTTTGATAGTCAGAATAATGGTCAATTTACAAATAGGTCATATTTCAATAGACTAGTTGTAAGTGGGCTGTTTATAGCTGAGAAACATTTTCCTATGGAAACAATGATCATTTGCATTTTCAGGTCATTTTGTAAAAGCTTTTTTTTTTTTTTTTTTTTAAACCCAAATGGACTTTTTTAAAAAAGCAATTTTGACTTCTTCTGGATTTGGGAAACAGATAATCATTGGGAAAACAAAAAAGAGGTCTTTCTCTTTCCTGAGTGGAGGAATTCTTTGCATCTTCATACCACTCTTTCTATACCACTCACCCAGTTCCCCCATCCTCCCAACTGCCCGGAAGACTCCCAGCCCTGCACCTTAATATGTCCTCAATCTAGAGATTACCCTTTTTGTAAACGTTTCTATCTCCAAAGCTGTTTTCTTCTCTTCCCTCCATCAAAAGTTTATTCCTTAACTCAGATGTAGGAGAAACACAATTTAATTGAAATACATGAAGATGTAAATATTTCTTAGCTCCTCAACCTTGGAGACATTTGCATTTTAAGAAAACAATCATGGTTAACTCAGATTACTTGTGAGTGTTGTGAAAAAAATTAGACAATCTAGGAGGAGATAACACTCAAACTGCACACAATTTTGAGAATTGTAGGAGAGCTAGGCATTGATGATACAAGGATGAATGGAGACCCTCGTCAATATTATTATTTTGGTGTCCCTTAGTGGACATTTTGTGCATTGAAGTGACTAGCTAACTTGTTTTTAACATTAATATGCAGCGTATAAAAGTAAAAGATTTAATAACTTAGTTTTTTCTAAAACTCTTAAGTTTAATGAATGAGGCCCCATAAATATATTTTTCTTGTCCTTGTTTTGTTTAGTGCTCTATTCCTAGCATCTTCTGCACAATAGTGCCCAACACATAGCAAACACTCAATAAATATAATAAATAAATTTAGAAATATGTTTTTTTTACTTATTAGGTACCTAGGAATAAACCTATAGTTGAAAGACCTATAGTTGGAAAACTATAGGATACTGAAGAAAAATAGAGTAAGATACAAACAAGTGGAACCATATACCGTGTTCATGGATTGGAAGAATTAATATCATTAAAATGTCCTTACTACCCAAAGCAATCTATAGATTCAATGCACTTCATATTAAAATACCAATGCCATATTTCACAGATCTAGAAAAAATATTTTTAAAAAATTACATGGAACCAAAAAGACCCTGAATAGCCTCAGCCATTGTAATCAAGACAGCCTGGTACTATCTCAGGAACAGCCATATAGATCAATGGAACAGACAGAGATCCCAGAAATTGACCTACATATTTATGGTCAATCAGTATATGACAAAGGAGGCAAGAGCATACAATGGAGTAAGCATAGTCTCTTCAATAACTGGTGTTGGGGAAATGCAAAAAATGA